GACTGACTGACTCACTGACTTTAAGAAACTAGCAGAAGGTCTAAGGTTTCCTAAAGCCATGCCTACTAAGTGGCTCAATTTCCCTTATGCAATTATTGCTTTCCCTAACCTTCAAAGTTCTATCAGGCATATCTAATCGATCTCTGAGTGACGCATTTGCCATGCCATACCACATTTCCCGTATTGCTCAGGCCCATCACTAAATGAGGAAAGTCAGGGAGGCTAGTCAGCATCTCAGCAGCCCTCATCTCCTCCCCCTCTTCACCTCCCCTTCCCCAGCCTGCCCCCATCCCCTCCCCCACTCGTGTACGTGAAGGTGGTGGGGTTTACGCTGAAGACTCCCAGGAGGAAACAGGGCCCTAGGCAATAAGTGAACTTCAGTTGACTTCACGCCCTATGTTAAAGGTTTGTCTCAGATATGTATCCTAGGAACTTGTGCCAATACTTGATACACAGTCTCATTCACTGACCCTGTTTATCTTTAAAAAAAAAATCCTTAGCACCCTGGAAGAATGCATTTTATGAAACATAAGACACATTCAGGGCATTCTTGGACCTAAATATTAAATCCCGTGTGTACAGGTACTACCAGTACATTCACCACTGGGCAAGATCACACAGAACAAAACTCTATAAACTCCCCAAGCTGTGAGCAAATGAAGAGAAATCAGAGGCCACCCTGGATGCTTCCGGAATTTGTTTTCCAGATTTTTATAATATGAGCCACGCGGTTCTGTAGCAGCAAAAGCAAATGTTGACGTTAAAAGACGTGTTGAGGTTCAAGCAGCAAAGTCAGGAACGCTGAGGAAGGTAAACAGGAATGCCTGCAGCCGAGCCTGAGACAGCCACGCTGACCATGCTAGAGAAAGAACAAGATAACTTGGCAAAACAACAAGGTCCATCTTGGCAGACTTTGGCTGACCCTCACTGAGCCCCCATGAGGAACATGCACAGAGTGTCTTCACCGCTGCAACAGAGAAAAGCCTCCACCTAGTCCAGGACGGAGATCACTCCAGATTACCCTGTAGATGGGGCAACCAAGGGAAATTGTAGTTATCTTGGTAACTGATAGGAGTTAGCTGTTAATTCCCCATGTCCAGAAGAGGCAGTGGTCTCTGGTAAAGTACCAGCTGCTCAGGTAAAGGGGAGAACAAAGAAAACATGGCTTAATTAACATCTAGAACACCTGGCTGAGATCAAGAGAGAATGAATAAAGGTGACCATGACATAGGATTAGTCCCTGATTGGGCAAAAAGTGTGTGTGGTCATCTCCCTGAAGAGGCCAAGGGGATATGCAAAGAATATGTAGGCCTCCCATTGGCTCCACCTATGGTACATCCAGAGAATTAACCAGTCTTGATAGAAATCACATCAATCATTGCCCAGCTTCTGACATGAGTCCTATTTAAAAAAAACAAACAAACAAACAAACAAACAAACAAACTCTTCTTAGAAAAACACCTCGGGCTTGCTCACTACTCCATTTTCATTGTCTTCGTTTCTCATCTATATAAAGTAACAAACTTGAAAGTCACTGTCACAGGTTGACTTTTGGTGACCACTGATTTTTTTTTTCCAGCACCTTACTCTCTGGGTCAAGTCCAGAGGTCAACGGAGGCCCCATCACTCTCAGAGATCTGCATAATTCCAACCAGCAGCCCATGTCATGGGACCAGCCTACCTTCTGAGGGATCTAACCTGGTCAATGGTTCTCTGATGCAGGGTCCCAGGGGTCTCCAGTTACTCACTTCACTTCTCTGGGCCTCAGATTTCTTCCAGGAGAAATGAGAACAGCTGGAACAGGGGGGTGAGTGTTCTTATCTTTTTCCTGCCTGGTACACACAGTCATGGGTACGAACAGATGAGACCAAGATTCTGGACACACGAGGAGGCACCACGATAGCCATCTTTATCTGTGGTCTCGTGTCCTAAGGTTTTATCTACTCAGTCCACTGAGGCATGGTATCTTCACATGGACACAGATTGATAAGAGCCTTTAAAATGATAAGCTGTTCCGTGAAGAGACAGAGAATCTGTGTTCACATACATTTTATGACAGTTGATATCACGAGAAATGTTTGATTTTGTTCTCACTATTGTTTATCTGTTCCTAAAGTATACATTCAATATATATTTATATATTAAATATGTAAATGTTCCTACATGTATGACAAAATGTGGTATATACTGAGTTTGAGGCACCCACTGGGATTCTTGGACCAACTCCACTGCAGACAATGGGGGATGCTGTACCCCAGTAGACTTGAAACTCATTTGTGACACACTAGTCGGGGAGCTCTAGGCTAGATGACTCATCAAACATGACTAAACTTAGAGGCTGCTTTTTTCCAATTAATTCTTAGGAAGACTCCAAATGACTCACTTCCTGATCACTGGCCTATCACACAGAGTTCTGTAAAAATCGTACCATTACCTCTTTTATAAATACAATAGCAAAGGAAAGTTTGGGGTGTGGATCCCATGGGCCTGCTGTAACTCTCACTGAAAGGCTGTAAGAAGCCACCACCTTCTGTAAGTATAGTCAAGAGGGTCTGCACATGGTCACCATGGCTTTCATCAAATGATCAACGGTGAGTCACTGTCAAAGATAGTGGGGCTCCCTGATACACAGTGTGCCTTCTCCATCTTTAAAATAGGGGTCTGTGTTTTCACAATTCCCACATCAAAGCAACGGCCTACACACAAAAATGTATTCAACTCCAGAGCACGTGCCAGATGTTCAAACATATGAGGTGGTAATTCCTTTGAGCAAAGGAGCTTTTGTGCTTCATTAAAATATTCTTTAATAAAAATATCAATATGCTGATGTAACACATTCATATGTAGCACCATAATACAGCTTTTTCTAATTTTAAGCAAAAGGAAAAATCAAGGCATGTTGGCAAGATGAAAGCTTTCTGACTGAGAAAGAAAATTAAGGTTAAAAGAATTTGTTAGGATTGTGAGGCCAATCACAAAAGTCAGGGAGTTTCAGAAAACAGTTTCTTCAGATGAGATATGTGTGTGTGTGTGTGTGTGTGTGTGTGTGTGTGTGTGTGTGTGTGTGTGTTTGTGTGTGTTCCATAAGTGAATGAAATAAACAATCTCTAGAAAATACATTTCCTAAAATGTGTGGGCAAGGGTGTGTCAAGCAGCCTCACAGAGAAGACACAGGGCAAAATCTCCCTGCCTGACACAGCCTCGGCTACTGCCTCCCTGAATCTTTCAGAGGGAAATAACCAGGGAAGTAAGAGTCCAAATCTAAATGGGGCGAGATATCCCTCAAGTCTTCATCAAAGAACCAGTTGTTGATCACTCATCCCAAAATGTCCAGATTGCACTGCCCACCTGGAAATCATCCACATTACCATCTGTGCCTAGAGGTACCACCTGGTGTGTCCAGGACTCACTCACTAGGCACGGTGTCCTGGGCTCCACACAAGAAAGGCTGAGTCCCATTAGCCAGCCCCATCCCTAGGTTCCTCCAGTCCTGCTGGCAATTTCCAGAAATCAAGCAGAAGCAAAGACCCATGGAGGGTGAGGGAAACAGAGTGAAGAACCAGTCAGCAACATCTCTTGGAAGCACTGAATACCTTACTGTACTTGAACCAGCAAATCCTCTGTAGGAAGTTATGATTCCCATGGTACAAAGAGAAGCTGAAGAGCAAAATATTCCAAGTGTGTGACTAGAGGGACCCGGAGCGAGCTTATCTCTCTGAGAGCATCCAGAAGCTTCTATGTCCCTCTCAGCGCCCCTTTGAGGAAGGAAACAAAATGTAAAGAGGAAGAAAAGGAAGAGCAAGACAGACTAGCCATAATGAATGAAACAAAAAATGCGTCTCAGGGCTGAACCCTGAGAGCGCTTGAGGACACTGTAGTGTATGGAAGAAGTCAGTCATCAAATGAGAAATACCTCATGATGTCTCTCCTCCTTGAAGTTCCTAGAATAGTCAGATTCCCAGGGATGGGAGGCGGAAGTAGTTATTAATTGAGAACAGAGTTTCAGTTGGCTAAGATGAAAAGGATGCGGAGGAGGACGGCGACAATGAATATTCTTAATGGCCTTGAGTAGCAACTCAACTTAAAAATGACTAGTGGTAAATGTGGTGCTCACATACCTTACCATAATTAGTTTTTTTTAATAAAGAATATTAAAGTAAAGTGAGGTCCAGTGTCAAGTCGTGAGCGCCACGACGCCAGCCTGCTTCGGCGAATTCTCACAGCCGAAAGATGGACTTCACACTTCCTCCCCCTGCTCTCCCTTGTGCCCCCTCTCCTCCCAAGCTGTCCCATCCTGCCTGTGGCCAGGAAGCCCCCCCAACTCCCTCCTCAGTAAGGGTCACTTATTAATCCCCAGTGTTTTGTTATGCGGTTATCTCCTCCAAACTTCTGAAACTTCCCTTCTGGATTAGATTGCTCGGTCTTCAGGAATCCGAGGAAAAGAGTCTCAAGACCCTGCTGCACAGCTGTAGAAGCAGAAACAGCTGCTAGGAGAGAACCCAGCAGCGGCTGTGACGAATGCTTCACAGGAACTCAGCTGTCACCATGCTCGGTGACATGGGCTCTTCCATGATGCAGTTGTCTTTGAGGGATCCATGCTCTTGTAACTAACCCCTCTGTAACACAATTCTTCAAAGGTCTTATTAAATAAAAGACCCGGAGCCAGATATCGAGATTAAAATCTGAGAGATCAGAGGACTAGGAAAAGCCACAGCTAACCTCACCTCACCAACTCCGCAGCTTCCAAAGAGACCTACTTCCTGTCTGCCCCCTCCTATGTGCCTTTCTGTTCTGTCAACTCATTTTCTCTCCATCCAGCTATATCACTTCCTCTTCCAGCCCAGTTTGTCACTTCCTGTCTGTCTGTACAGACCTCCAGACCTTTATGGTTAACTAGTGTTGGAATTTAAGGCGTGTGTCACCACACCTGGCTCTGTTCCCAGTGTGTCCTTGACCTCACAGAGATCCAGATGGATCTCTGCCTCCTGAGTGATAGGATTAAAGGCGTGTGCTACCATTGCCTGACTTCTATGTTTACTATAGTGGCTGGCTTTTTCCTCTGATCCTCAGATAAACTTTATTGGGGGACACAGATAAAATATCACCACACCCCTCACCCATATTTCTTCAAGAAACCCCAATAAAATCCCTGGTTCATTAATCTAGACTTATATGGAATTGTTTTCATGGTTTGTGTCCAGTGCCTGACCTAGAATAAGTGGATGTTTGTTCATGCTTCCCCAAGCAGTCACACATGTGTTAACCACAACTTGATAGAGTTGAATTGGAGCTGATGTTTTCCAGGTTGGGCCTTGGGAAATAGTAACAGTGGTTGGCAGCTCTGGTTAGCATTAAAAGACTGGACAAACTATGCAGTCATAAATTGCCCTATAATAAAGGACACACTCACTAACCAAAAGCTCACATAGATTTGCTGGGGTTAGAATTGCATTACCACAGAGCTGTAATTTGTATCTCTCAAATGTTCCTCTGAATTCTGGCAGGCAAAGCATCTTTAAAAAGTAAAAATTTTCTTTCTTAATTCCATTTTGACAGATTATCTTTCAAAGCTTGGAGTCCATTGGCCCAAGTGACGTCGAAGTGGCTTTCAGGGGCATCATGCTAGCTACGGTTAGCTATCTAACTGCAGTGGCAGTGTGGAGGAAATTCAGATGCAATCTACACTGCCTGGGAACCAAAGCCTGGTAGAAACTAGACAAACACAGATACTGTGCTACTGTCTTTGCTGGCCTTCCTCAAGGCTGCCCACTTGGTATCCTCAGGCTGCCTAACCTCCTATCCCCGACATGGACCAAGCATCCTTGCCACCTGATCTGTCATTTTGACCATCCACTGCATCCCACTGGCATGGAGACCCAGTGTCATAGGTACCCCATGCTCAGGAGAGAATATGGGTATCCAAGAGCCATGAAGCAAACAGGAGTGCTAAAGAATCAGGTCTGACTAAAAGCATCCAAAAAAATCCAACAAGGACAAGAACAAAGTCACTCACAGCACAAAAGAGCAAGCTGCAGGGGTAGACAACCCAAAGAGGATGTAGCTGTGAGTCACCACACACCAACCACTCTCTGTCAGAGAGTTATGAGCTCTGTGGCAGCATCCCATTTGCCTGATGTGCAGCTGCAGGGTGTGTGCCTCAGCAGCTGGACTGGGGAAGATGGTGGATACCTTCTGGCTGGCATACGGTATCTTACTTTCTTCCAGAACTTGGTCTTGGCGCACTGTGACTGCTCTGTCAAGTCCCCGTCCCATTGGATGGCCCCATGCTTTTGTCGGATGTACTGAATGGACTCGGGCATGATGCTATAGTCCTTGATTTTCTCCAGCTCAATCAGAATGACCTTCATGCCATCCTGGATGAGGGCATTGTAGACAGCGATTTGTTCTTCTGACATGTTGTTTAAAAAGCCGAAGCCGGATGATTCTGGTGCCACGAGGACGATCAGTCTCCTACACAGTTTAATGTTTTCATCAATGACGTTGGCCACAGCTGGAATGGAGAAGAAAGATTCAGAAGACCAAGCATAAAAACAGCAAGGCTGTAACACTACCAGAAAATAGGAGAAATGGGCACAGGGAAAGGAAAGGGACTTTCAAGCAGACAAGATTGAGGGACAGGTGGATTAACATTCAGTATCAACTACTGTTCTGGGCAGGGTTTGTGTTCCAGTCCACTGGAGTCATCAGTCACCTCTTGTTTGTGTCCTTTGGTGATTATATATGTCCTGTTATCTATTGTTATGTCTCTTTCCCCAAGACTATCCTGTTGGACTGTATTCCTATAGTAGCAGACGTCCTCATGTATGCTATATAATAAGCATATTTAAAACCTATTTTTAAAGGTCAGGGAACCTTCCTTCATGTTCTTTATAGTTAGTTAAATGATCAGGGTTAATATCACTAATTTTGAAGCCACGTAGCACACCATGATGGCTTCTTGGGGAGGGGAGGAAGAGCCCACCAAATAGTAACTTTACACATTCTATGTGGCCTGTGGTTGCCTCCTGTGAGGTGTAAGAAGACAGTGTCATCTCTAAGGACAGGTTCTTTTTCAGTTGGATTATTTTTGTGTTTCTACTGTATAAACAGCCCAGTATCTAGAGATAGCCAATACATATTCTTTAAATAATATTAAAAAATATTTTTTTCCTAGTGAGAAGAAAGGGGCGCTTATTTCAGTATTCAACTACTTTACTGTGTGACATACCAAGACAGACAGCAAAGAGGACAAGGGGAGGGTTTTGTGAAGGATGAGTCCTGTGAGGGCATTTACCCAGGCCAGTCTCTCAGACATGCCAGGAAAACATTTTCATCCCTATTTCATCCATGCAAACCCTGGTGTTTATGAACTGCCCTAAACCACACACCTAGTAAACAGACGTAAACAAAAAATTATCCATCTTATTTAGACAGAAGATGCTGTATATATAGTTTGAAAATGAAATGTCCCCCACTGGGCTCTTCTGTTTGAACACTGGTGCCCAGATGGTGGCACTCTTTGGGATGATAATGGAAACTTCAGGATGTGGACCCTTAATGGAGGAAGTCATTAGGAGTGGGCTTGGAGGTTTTATAGCCTGGCCCTACTTCTCATTTTTTTCTCTCTCTGTTTCCTATGCAAGTATGAAATATGATCAGTCGGCTTCTTGACTGCCAGACTGGCCTCTCACTCCCACTGCCGTGCCGTGATGGACCGTAAACCTTTTATCCCCTAACTCGCCTTTGCCAGGGTATTTTTATCATAGCCACAGACAAGTATCTTATGTAGGGGGAGAGATGCTATAAATTGTGGTTTATAAAATCTGCTATGGGTGTTATTTTAACTAGGTAAAGATGTATTGCATTGTTTATGCTGGGGAATATTACTTTAACTGTGTAAAGATGTGTTACATTTGTTTCTGCTGCCTTTGTTAGCAATGTAAAGATGGGTTACATTTGTTTAATTATCTAAAGATGTGTTGCCGGTTCACCTTGCCTGCCTACAGCACCTGATTGGTCTAATAAAAAGATGAATAGCCAATAGCTAGGCAGGATAGGAATAGGCAGGGCTGGAGGGCAGAGAGAAAAAATACAAGGAGAGAGAAGAGAAGGAGAAGACAAGGAAGAAAGAGAAGGACTTGCCCAGGGTAGAAGCCAGGCAGCCGCCAGCCAGACATGGAGAGAAGAGGAAAGTAAGACATACAGAAGGAAAGAAAGAAAGATAAAAAGCCCTGCGGCAAAACATAGATGAAGAGAAACAGGTTAAGTTATAAGAGCTAGTGAGACAAAGCATAAGATGAAGCCGAACATTCATAACTAATATTAAGTCTCTGTGTCATGATTTTGGAACTGGTTGGTGACCCAAAAGAAAAAGTCTGCTACAAAAATCAACGATAAACATCATGGTATTTGCATATTTGAACTAGTGGGAAACTAGACCACAGTTGTTCTCAGTGACAGAAAAGGGAATGACCACTGGACTATTTCCAGCTTTTTCAGTTTTGACCAAGACTGCTGCTTATTCCCATGACTGAGTTAACTATATCCCCATGCTGAAGAGCATTGAAGCGCATTACTGAAACCAGGATTCCCTAACACTGTGTTGTAGCAATAAGCCTAATGTAGCAATGGAATAACTTCTGAATATAAGAGGTAGTGGGACTAGGAGGCGCTGTGGATAGACTTTTGAAAGTCCCATGTGTCTGGGGACATTTGTAACCTAAAAGAGAGGTAGGGAGAGGAGAGGACTGGAGAGGAAGGGAGAGGGGACATTTCCTTTTTTGGTTTTGTTTGAGATAGGGTTTCTACATACAGCCCCAACCGGCCCTGTATTCCCATTTATCCTGGCTCAGCCTCCCCTGTGCTGGGACCACAGGCATGGCCCTCTTATTTTTTTTTTCATTTGTTGTCCAATGCCTCAGTTAAAACATACCTTGACCAGGGAATTCATCCCTGCCAAATATAAATAACTTATATCCACACTGCTTCTCCAGCACCTCAGGCAGGATCTTCAACACCAATGTTTCCACATCATGGCCCTGACTTTTTCTTGGGCACTTGGGGTATAAGACGTAGGCATCATACAGTTTCTCATCTGAAAGAGAAAAGAGACAAGATCACAAAATGACTCTATCAGACCCCTCAAGTAAGTAAAGTGAACCTTGGTCACTGCTGTGATACACTTCATCCTGGGTTCCATAACCTCCATATGCCCCACCGGCATACCATGCTACCATAATGCATTCTCACAGCTGACCCATGAGAGACAAGTCTCATCCTCACTACAGGGGAATAAACTCTAGACCAAACAGGTGTGGCCATGTCTGCCATTCCTAATTGAATCCTAAGTCTCCCACTGCCCGTGGTTGGGCTGAAAATGAGACTTTGGAGCCCGGGGCTCATTAACTGCAGATGTGGGCAATGGAGACCTGGACTAACCACGTCAAGCAAAAGGGGTTGAGTCCCACCTAATCTAGCACACCAGAAAATTCATCATAGACCGAACAAGTCTCAGTGGACTCCAATTCTGTCATGTACCACTGAAAAATCCAACACATGCAATCCTGTAGCACATGGGGTCAATATGTTCATTGTGGACAAGTATTTCTTGGTCAACTATAAGACCCATCACTGTGCTCACCAGGGCAAATATAAACAATGCAGACCATTTCACATACACACCACTCGCATACACAAAATAAAATGGTGTGTGACATTTAAGATGTCAACAACCAAAGGAACACAAAAAAGAAAACAATTCTCATTGACTGGCTTTCTTGATAGACAATATTCATAGAGGCTTTGTAATAGCTCCTGGGTGTGAAACCACGAGGAGAGCTGGGGGGTGGGGGCACAGGTGAGGAGCTACGTGTGGATTAGTGAGAAGTCAGCACAGATGTGAGAGAGAAGCCAGCACAGGTGTGTCTGCCTCCCTGCCCACTGTCATTCAAGGAAGCCGCTGTAGAGCTGAGTGGAGGGAGTGTGGAGGGGAGACCTCCATCAGTACTAACCGAACATCTCAAGAGAACTTGACTATGAGACCCAAGGGAGGGCGCGGGGAAGGTCTAGGTCACAAGCTGATTCAGCTTGGGGATCATAAGCATGCACCAGAGGACGGATTTGTGTTTGGAGACAATCAAACCCAACACAGCTAAAGCTCCCGTGACATCTTCAAGGTCACCAGATAGAACTTCGGGAAATAGATAACTTTTTCTGTATAAAATTTAATGTTAAATATGACTTGCCAAAGTTCAAGTTTTAGGGGGCTGTTTTTTGTTGTTGTGGTGGTGGTTTTGTTTGTTTGTTTGTTTGTTTGTTTGTTTGAGGGTGAAAGAAAAGAATAGAGAGAAACAGAAATCTCACGGGTTCTTATTTCTTGACTGTTTAAGAAGGAATTGAACCTTCCCATGTAAGGATTTAGACGTGTTTAGACTTGCATCCCTTGGGAGCTGTTGGCTGCTTGGTGCTCCATGTACCGCAGGGAGCATCCTCCTTGGAAAATGCAGTTCCCAGGTTGGTACCCACATTTATCACTCCCCAGCCTCGGCACAGCCCCTGGCATCTCTTCTCATAGTTTCTCACTCTCCCCCCCCACACTGGCTTTATTTAAACAGCAAACAGAGGGAACTGCACTTGCCAGATGTTTTCTCTTTTGACAGAATCCCAGTTCTCCTTTGCATCTGGGGACACAAGTTCTCCTTGGTCTCCAGCGCATTGTCCTCGGAACAGATGGAGAGGGGACTAACTGGTGGCGCAAAGCCTCGTGTGTTTTGAAAACGCAAAACAAAGCAGGCCTCCAAAATTCATGTCCTTTCTTTTCTAAGTTTGTTTTCTTTCCATGCTGGAGACCAAACCCAGGGTGGTAAGTGTGCTGGACCACTGGGCTAGTGGCATCACCAACCCTCAGACCAAGATCTGCAGCAAAGGTATGACTTAGGGACTTGCTCTCCACATGCACTGGGTTTTCACCACTTTCAAAGACCCATTTATAACCCACGCCTACCTTTTTGTTACAGCCCTCCGATTTTTAAAAAGTATTATTATTTTATTTCATATGTGCGGGGCTTTTGGCTTGTGTTCGTGTATGCAGTGCCCAAGGAGGCCAGAAGAGGGCACCAAACCCCGGGAACTGAAAATCATAGACCATGGTTCCCTGCAGCGTGGGTTCAGGGAATCAAACCAGGACCTTCTGGAGGAGCAGTCACTGCTGTTAATCACTAAGCCATCTCTCCAGCCCTGAGTCCTCTTAAGTTTGAAGGACAGGATCAGACAGCGACACCAGGCACCTGCTGGCTAACAATGACAGATACCCTTGAATCCTACGATTCTGAGAAGGAAGCTGAGATCAACAGGGCTGCGCGATTTCTCAAAGGTATACAGAATTTTCTAGCCCAAGCTGTCCATTTCCCCTTATGTAGCCAAACAAGACTTTGAATCAGAAAACCCAGGGCAGATTTCTTCATGCCTTGACCTTCCAGCTCCATCAGAGGTATATTCTCCAAGGAGAGAAACACTTCTGGTTGATCATGTTTTTTTCAGAAATATGCCACCTCCCCACAAAAAAAGTGATGTGTAACTCTACTCTTTTAGAATTGGGCAGATTTTCAAAGCTGTGTGTGATAGACCACACACACACACACACACACACACACACACACACACACACACACACAAACACCTTAGATCGAAAACAAGGCTTCCTCAGCCTCTCTCCAGAAATCCAACATTATACTTCAAAGAAGCCCACCTTCGCCACCAAGAGACACTGACAAAAGATGTCCTTGTAGAAAGGCACTGAGGAAAAGGTGACTACTAGTCCCCCAGGTGAGGCCTCAGACCCCCCACTGTGATCATCTGCAAGGCCCACAACACACACAAGCATAATGGATGGCCTTGTGCACAGTGAAGTTCCAAGGTGACTTGTTTCCCAACCATAGTTACAGAAACAGCAGGAGAAAAAAAAATAGCACAGGAGGAAACAGTAATGGAGAGCAGCGGATGATCTGAAGAATTTCTAAAATTTCTGGTGGCTGATCTGAGGAGACTCCGCTGTACTGGCTGCCGTTCCCAATACCCACCTCTCTCAAAAGTGGAGGTGGCAATGAATTTATGTCCTGGCCAAGCTCTTCTATCTTCTGAGGCTATTTAACCATTCCTTCAGCTAAAAACAGCCTGTACACACCTCTATTGCTGTTTGTAAAACCCAAACAAGATCATCTTTACAGGTTGACAGTTATGGAAAATCACCTGAAGTTTCTTCAGTTCTCGTCTCTCTCTCTCTCAATTTGACTTTGCTAAACTTTATGCCCGACAAACTCAGAGCAGTGGCAAAATCAAGCGGAGTTGATAGATGAAACTTGAATTTTAAAAGATACTCTATGTAAGGGCCTTTACGGAGTAGCCTGAGGACTGCTGTGTCTATCCCCAGCATGCATAGAAAGCCCTAGAAGGAAAGCCATGGAAAACACGCGATCACATTCACTTTGGGAATACCGAAGGCCAGATCCCTTACAGAGTGCTAGCTCCTGTAAATGGGAACTCTCTGCAGGCACTGTCTTTGGAAATGAGCCCCAGAATGAGCTATGTTATTTCACAAACTACAGAAACACTTGTGGGAAAAGCCAGAATCAATTGAACTCAGTGTTAGGCAGGAAAGCAAATTCACCTTCAGAGACCAAGAGGTCCCCTCAGCTCTGCAGGTTGCTTATTCTTTTTGTTTTCCCCAGAGCTAAGGATTGAACCCAGGGCCTTGTGCTCGCTAGACAAGTGCTCTACCACTGAGCTAAACCTCCAACCCCTGCAGGTTGCTTAGTTTACTTCTCAGCTCTTTATTTTCCTGTGCACCTGCGGGGTTGGTTCTCACCCTTCTATATCCCCTGTGCACACTGCCTGTAGGTCTGGATGGAGTCAAAGCAAGCATACACATAGTTCTCAAACGACCTGTCACTGACCGACCTTTCTAGTCTTGCAGATACCAGCACACCTAACAGGCCAGTTCTGAAAGCACCCATGACCGCATAGAAATGCAAAACTCTCTGACTTCTACTGGGTTTGTGGGTGGCTGTCATATTGTAACTCGTAGGTCAATTATCTTTACCTACTCGTGGCAAAGCCTGACTAACCTGGTTGCAGTAAACTTTGCCAAGAAGGACAATTTCTCCTCTACATCCATATTTACTATACTGTATATGTTCCTGTAGTGGGTAGCCATTCCAGCTTTGGTCTGGAAGTTCCAACCCTACAAGGCGGGGCCAAGGGAGGGCCCTGAAGACCGGAGATCCAGATGCGCCGCCTTCTCTTGGTTCCCAGACCCTGGACGCTAGTGGTAGACCGAACAGAGTTCTCCAGAGAACACCACCGGACTGAGCTACGTCTTCCCCAGACCCTGTAGCCTATCCCTTCATTTGTGAGTTGCCCCACAAAGTAAACCTCCCTTTTAAAAACTACATGGAGTGGCCTGAATAATTTCAACAATATGTTCCAGAACATCCTCTCAAGAGAATCCAAGCAGGATTTAGGATCAACCTCGGAGGCTCATCACTTGGCTCACTTTAAAGCCCTTATTCAAAGTTCTAATACAGGGTGGTTTAAATAGAAGGAGATATGGGGAAATTGAAGCACAGACTTCAAAATTAAAAAATAACATCAAAGAAAAACATGAGCCCCCACCCCCCCTGCTGGCTGTCATCTCCAATATCCAAAGCCACCACACCCTGGCTGTGCAGAGTCTGGGCTGTGCTGATCTCGGGGAGGGTGAGATCCTGATGTGTCATCTCTTGGGTTCCCCTGTTCTGCTGGGGTGAGTCATTTTTCCTCTGTCTCTTTCTGTTAAACTTAGTGTCTCTAGCAGGCAGCTTCGCCCGCCATGCTATCTGTACACCGTAAGTCAAGGCTGTAGTCACACTCCTGAGAGCTACAGTGAGTCAGAGGCACAAACACCAAGAGGCCAGAGGGGCCGGAGCTTCCAGAAAGACTACATGAAATAATGTCAAGCTCTCTGAGTCAAGCCAGAAAGGAGGCAAGCCACGCCTATCTGGGTCAGAAGAAACAGGTGGTGTGGGGCTGAGCCCTCTCCTCACAGAGACAGCCAAAGGGACAGTGACAGGGGACAGAGTCAAGAGGGCTTCTGTCCTAACCATGCCTCCCCTGAAGATCTACAGAGCTTCCAGCACCTCAAGTGGCATTGGGCTGGCCAGGCAATGGCCATGGCCGCATCTTATCATCACCACTGGGCTACATCCCAGCCTCTGGGTTACCAATTTTGAATCCTGACGTTGAGTTAAAGACAATCTGAATTACAGCAGCTGTGTTTTATCAGACATGTAGACAATAATTTGTGTGGTGGCTTTTACGCACGAACAGCTGCTTAGAATAATGGTTTTTTTGTATGTAGATTCTCCACTTCTGAATGTGTTTAGACTCTGAGGTCCCCCACTCGCTTGCACCTGTTCAAGGAAAATGTCTAGCCTAGAAAGGTATGCATTTATTCGTCTCCATGCGTAACGGCTGTGTAGATATCTTTTGCCTTTTTATTCATTTGTGTAGGCAAATGGGGGGCATCAGAGCAGATTAGTTTGTTCTTTTTCAAGCTCTTACAAGATCACATTCATTCTGAGACTAATGGATTTTAATTGCATCATCTTACAACCAGAATGGAGAGAAATGCCAACTCTGGAACACATGGAGACATTTCTGTGTCAAAAAATAAAAGAAAGAAAAAAAAAGGAAGGAAGGGAGAAACAGAGAAAGAAAGAAAGAAAGAAAGAAAGAAAGAAAGAAAGAAAGAAAGAAAGAAAGAAAGAAAGAAAGGAAGGAAGGAAGGAAGGAAGGAAGGAAGGAAGGAAGGAAGGAAGGAAGGAAGGAAGGAAGGAAGAGAAAAAATGGTGGCCAGACACAGACACCACTAAGGACGCAGAGCCGAACAAGGAAAGACAGTTTTTAACTTCGCCTTCTTCAACCTCAGCATGGTGACTCCTTCAGTAAGACTAGAGAATGGGTCTTTCCTTCCCCTTTATTCTTTTCCTCCTTACCTTCCTTACCTCCCTTTCTTCCTCTCCCTCTATGACCCTCCTTCTGTAGCTGAAAGAAGAAAATATCTTTCTAATCTCACAACAGAGATGTAAATTACTTCAGGTACCAAGCACAGGGTTTAGAGAGAGGCGATCCCCCCCCGCTTACTGTTTATCCTGCTGAGCTTTGGGGGTGCAATGCACATCATGTCAGACAGACTTTGTTCCTGCTTACTTTGCAGGCCCAGAAAAATGGGACCCTTTCTCACACCTGCGCATCAAGAACCAGGATGGCCCACAGCCACCTACTGCTGCCACCTAGTGGCTGTTTGCTGGGCACTACCCGCCTTCTAGCTTTATTTGGCAAAGGAGGTTGATAACCAGGCACAGACCTTTCCTCTGAAGCACATGAAGTTCTGCACACTAAATTTTCCAGCCAGAGGAAAGACTCACTTGTAACAACATGAGAAGAGCATTTAAAGAGCTTCCGCGGCCGGGCGTCGGCAGTGCACGCCTTTAATCCCAGCACTCGGGAGGCAGAGTCAGGCGGATCTCTGTGAGTTCGAGGCCAGCCTGGTCTACACAGCGAGATTCAGGACAGGCACCAAAACTACACCAAGAAACCCTGTCTCAAAAAAAAAAAAAAAAAAAACAATGAAAAATAAATAAATAAATAAATAAATAGCTTCCACAGAGTGGGCAGCCATTTGGAGGCCTTTTTCCCCCCAAAGACCACACATACTTACTGTGGTGATATTTTTAATTATGCTGAAATGTCTCTGTATTCGGCTCTGTGTTTCTTATTTAATAAGACTGTTTAGAAATTTGTCTACCACTTACCATCTAGAGCCTGGAGAGTGTGGAAGGCGCTTCTGTACCAAAGCACAATGTCAATCTTAAAACTGCTGTAGATGTACAGGATGGACACGACCAACAGTAGGAAAGCCACGAGCCCTCCTATGAGGTAAGCCCGGAAATCTGGAACTGCAGATGAAAGGAAAAGTCGGTGTTAGAAGGTTAGTTTTATCCTCTACACATGCCGGGTGGGAAGCATGAAGACACTGCTTGACCATGTCTCAAAGTTTCCTGGTGAGTAATGGAGTTGGATAGGTTCAGTTTGGACTGTGGAGTTTGGGATCAAATGAGTTCTTTGAAAACCCAGGAAGCCCTAGGTGCGGATGCAGGAACACCAGGACTCCAGTTGCATGGGGACTGTTTCAGAGCATGTGGGTCCAGGTGCCTTCCTGGGGTGCAGTCTGGCCATATCTTTAATGTCCCCCAAGGGCTTCCCCTGGAGCTTCTGGATTACATTCCTACCACACTGCTTCTCCAGCCCCTCAGAGGGACTCCTGGGAAAAATGGTAAAAAGCCATTGGCCCTCTGCCCAGAAACCAGCTGTGCCGGTTCCAGAAGACCAGGGGTGACACAGGCCCCACGCAGCCCTTCCCAGGGCCCCTGAAGTCAGGGCTGGTGTCTGTCTGAGAATTCCTGACATGGTACCCATTGCCTGCTCTGCTGTGTGAGCATGCTGCAGAGCCTTTCTAATAGAAGGGAAGTGGGCAGACAGCTGGGGGAAGAATCAGTTACTCCAGAAGGGAAGTCGGGGTTGCTTCTAGAACGGCTCCGAAACACCAAGAAGAGGAACCATGCAGCACCCTACCTTGCCACAACCCAAATGGGTGCTGCCAGAGGAGGGGTGCCTTGGAACGAGGGAAGAGAGTAAGGAACCCATCTCACCAACCACTTCCTTTATTAGCTCATTCAGATTGTCCACACACCCTAGAAGGGAGTTGGTGGATCTAGGGCAGGGGAGGGGAGGAGATGAGGAGGAGGCACCTATGTTTGGGTCTCCCAGGAGAAGCACTTTCAGTTTATACAATCTTCATGAAGGAGCTTATCAAATCCTCCCCCAGGCCACACACACAGTAAACATCGCAAGGCTGAAGACTTCCTGCATACTTTCAAATGTCTTTAGACATAACAGCACAATCAAGTACAATGACAGAAAACACGCTAGGTACCAGCCTCACCCCAAATCAGTACACTGAGTAAGTCCTGGTGCAGCCAGTCGAGACGGCTCCCCAGGCTGTTGCCCAATCTGGCCCTAGCCCGTCTTTAGAACTTTGTCATCCACCTTCCTACTATGAGATGGAGTCTCCCCTCCCACCCATCATCTCTGCCAGCTCTTATCACAGTTGTGTGAGTAACACCCTATCTCCCTTTGGGAGGATCTAGTCTGGGAGAGTCAAAGTCTATGACAGAGCTCTTGGAATGGCAAAGTGTGACATGGCTGTCCCATGACTAAGCCCTGGGGACTTATGAGATTCAAAGAATCCTTGGCCAGCAAAGTGTGGCCTGAAACTCTCCAGTCCACCATTCCTTGCACTGAGTAGTGTTGGCATGCTCTGCTCTGTAAATGTGTTCAAAGATGATGGCGTTGGAATTGTCTTATTCGTGAAGAAACTCTAATGAATAGGTACTTTGAAGTAGAAATAAATGTAAAACTCACTTCCTTATTAAGGAAGGCATCTGTCTAGGCTGGAAAGATGGCTCAATGGTTAAGGGCACTGGCTGCTCTTTCAAAGGACCTGGGTTCAATTCCCAGCTCATAACTCCCTGTAACTCCGGTTCCAGGAGATCTGATGCCCTCTTCTGACTCCCATGGGCACTGGGGATATAAAACAAACATACAAGTAAAATAAAATCTTAAAAAAAAAAAAAAAAAGATTTGTTATTTGAGTTCATGGAACTGCCATCAGCAGCCTTCTGATTAGATGAGAGTGGAGGATAAATGATGATTAATAAAACACAGAAAAAAAAGGACCTTCACAGAATGATTTCTAGTGATCTTGCCTCAAATGATCCAAGTAAGAAATCTGGAAGTATCTTCAGAAAAAAAAAAAAAAAAAGAGGAAGTCAAATGAAGAAGCCGCCACCAAATAAACCAAGGAGTTTAGATTTAGGAGGGTGAGGTTCCTCAGAACTCAAGGCAAACAGAACAAGTTATACACAACCGACCAAAAAAGCCACTGTGTGTGGGCTGGGGAGTGAGCGCTTGGAGAAACCAAGGGATGTTTAGCAAGAGTTTCCTAAGTAGTGGTCCAAACTAACCGAACAAATAATTCCTCCTACTCTCACATGACTGACAGATAGATGTTAACTCGTTAGCTGATGACAACATTAGCCCCTCTGAGCCTGGACTTGGCCTCAAAATCCTTCCAAGCATAGTGTGGTCAGATAGTCAGGATGAAGAAAATCTGTATTGGCCATTGTGGGGCTAGGTAACCAAACAATGCAGTCAAACTTACACATTAAGTTAGACTGAAATTGGAACCATGTTAGGTGTCCCACATTCCCTAAGGTATGTCCTAGAGTGGGCTTTTCTCTTTTCTCTAGGGTCACACTCCCTGGCCTAACTAAGCCAGGCTCTTCTTCTTCTGGAAGTTACTGGAGTGTCTTCAAGTTCTTCTCTGTTTCTTGGCTGAGAAAATGTATTCTCACTGGATTATTAAAATTGGCTCCTTCATCAAAACAGGAGGACTTTTTTGCTTCTTTGCTCTGGTCTGACTGTGCTCTGCAGGCCAGACAAAGGATATGGATGAGAAGTGAATGGGAAAAGGTGGATCATGAAGGCCAAGAATGCCAAGCCAAGAGGATCTCTTCTGTCTCAGAGGGAAACAAGCGATGGTGGAGCTTCAGCCATCCTTGGAGAAATAACTTATACAAGGCCAGAGAAAGTTCTCCAGGCAAGGACATCATTTGAAAAACTGATACAATCATGCAAATAACACATAATAATGGCCCAAACCATAACAGTACCAATGACAGTAACCCAATGTCTTAGACCTCACTGAATGTCGGTCTCCGTGTTTGCTTTGCAAAATTATCTCACCTGATTCTCTCACACACTACTTTGTGGGGAGTGAGTATGATCTGGTACAGTCACCATGTGGAATAATGTGGCATTATATAGTAAAGCTGATAGCAGAGGTTCATTTAGCAATTCTACCCTCAAAAATATATCATAATTTTGGGGCCCAGTGCCTATGGTGAGACACTTTGCGCAGCCTTGGTGCAGGGAGGAGGGGCTTGGTCCTGCTTCAACTGAATGTACCGGGCTCTGCTGACTCCCCATGGGAGACCTTGCCTTGGAGGAGGCAGGAAAGGGGGGATGTGTTGGGGGAGGATTCTGGGGGTGGGAGGAGGGAGGACAGGGGAATCTGTGGTTGGTATGTAAAATGACTAGAAAATCTCTTAATAAAAAAAAGATATCATAAGGAATGCTTCCACATCGGGACCAGGGCATATGCACAGGAACTTCCATAGTGTCATTACTTGTTAACTGTCCCAATCTGGAAACAGTCCAAATAACCACATGTTCACCATGAAATTGATGAAAGGTGGCCTGACTGTTGAGTGGGATAGGTTTCTAGAATTCAGATGAAAAAAAAAAACAAAAACAAAAAACAAACAAAAAAAACAGCTGCTTGCTGTATTATCAATGAACCAGCATATCCCAGGTACCCGAGAAAAGAATCATGTCACAGAAGAAATAAAATCATCTGATA